GCCGTCACTTTCTCTTGCTGTAAAACGCGTGTGCGTAACTTCGTGTTATCTTGCATCAGCTGCGGAGGGTCAAATTTCAAACCCTATAGGCCTCATACAGTTTCTCTCCTAAGATCGATTGATGGGCAGGCGGCCTCTGGTGTCCATGGAATGACTTGTTCGAATGGCTAACTGTCCATTATTGGAGCGTTTTACAAGTTCTGCGTCCGCACACCCGCATCTGAATGCGAAAGGGGATGCGACTTGCAGGAGGCCTCCCCCGACTCCCTTATGACTCTCAGTGTCAATGAGCATCCGCACAATCTCGCAATCCTTGAGTGGGAGCAGTGGAAGTCAAAAAATTACAAATGTGTCGACCGGAAACAAACATAATAGTGAGCGTACAGAAATTATCGAAGATGTACCGAAGCGGGTTCATGTCGTTTGCTACATACTTTCAAGTCAATCGCGGGTTTCCATAGTAATAATACTGTCCCTTCTATTTTACGATTATGGTCAAACTTCCGATCCCTCGTTGTGTGATCCAGATAGGCTGCCGGGAAGAGTAGTTTTCTGTTCAAAGTGAATACTGAGTGTGGGTTCTGCCAATCGACCCCGAGAACGTTTTCTCCCGTTCAAAACGGCAAGCAATGCGTTGGAATAGCTGTTCGACTCATTCAGTCAATATAAATGTCCATAACTTTGTGACGACTTACAGTCCCCCGAGTATATACATCCTTCAATGAAAGCTATCAGCTCGCGTTTTTCTGCTGTGTAACGCAGCACTTACACCGAAACTTGTTGACGGCCATTCGTCGGAAATTTTACGTAGAATATTAGTTGAACGAGAGCCACGACGAGAGTAACGGCAGCGGTCTCAAGGGCGATGATAATAAGACGATCAAGCAGCCGTTGGGTGGACTTAAGTGAGGACTCTAGCTTTGCCCGTACAAGCTAGGCAGAAGAAATTTTGAGACAAACTGGACCAGGGGGGGGGGGGATTAGACGTACCAGTGTAGTCATAGTTGCCACAATGAAGAAGTCGCAAACAAAGGTTCCTGAGAGCCAGACCTGTAAGTAATGTGAAATTATTGAGCATACGCGACGGTGTCGATAGCTAATCCCAACCTTGGCTGAAAGCTGAACAGGGACCCTTGATCTATTTTGGTTTTGGAATTCGTAACACTTTTGCGGAGCGCATCAACGATCTTGACAAAAACATTGTCGGTAGCGCGCAACATACCAGTACGCCACGGACAATGGAAGCCACAAATTGCATCAAGGCCAGCTACAAACGCGCCTCAGTACACGCAATACAATACGAGGGGGCTCGCACCAATGAGATTAACACGGCAATAGATACGCAGACCTTGGAATCCCTCTTCAGACTCCCAATACGCCTCGTGATTAACTTAGTTTCAGAAGAACGAAGTTCAGCAAAATACACTCACCAGGCGAAGAAAACTTGCACTATGCAAGACTCTGAATGGCAAGCCTAATCTATACGTCGTGAAGTAATGCACAAAAAACCCACCTAACCCCGTGAGGGGAATACTCATGGCTTGAAATACCGAAGAGCCCGAGAAAGCGGTTGACTCTCCCCATCCAGTCACAAGCCCTTTCCAAGCGATAGAAGTGACAGACATTGATCGTATCTGGTCAAGAATGAAAGCAACCCCCACTCAAATTTCGTGTATGTGTGATTGATCAGCAGAGACTAGGGCGCGACATACCGATAGACTTTATAAAAAGAGCGTCGCCTTTGATATCGTAAGCGCCGAAATAGTCGTCTGAACGGAGGTGGTGACGATGTCAATTTGCGAGCACACGACGCGGGGAAAAGAACGCACAGGTTTGTACCATTAATGATCCGGACAAAAACCAGGTGAAGACGCATCCGACGAACTGAGAACGCCAATTAATGATATTGTTTGGAGAGGAATATTTGCAAAAACGAACCAGAGGCGCGGTTCTTTCAACTTCATGAGCGCGACAAGATGTGCAATGGGACTTGAAAACTTACTGAGAAAGATCCTTCCCAGCGCCTATAGCCATTTCTTTCGCAGGAGGTCAATTCTCTTTCTATGGGGGTGTGGGAGGTTGTGGTGCCGAAAGTCTGCACGAGTTTTTGAGCAGATATGCGTTCATTTACCCTAAGGGCTGATGCGGAAAACTTTCCGAGATTTACGGGCTATGTATACATACCGGAACATTCCATCCACCAGTACACACTTGGATCATTGTTGGGTGTTTGAACCCTGGGGTTCCTTTTGTCCGATGACTTCCACTCCTCAACGTCTCCACGAAAAAGAAAAAAAAAAACTTTTGTCGCTGGCGACCTTCAAAAGAGATTTTGCAAGAAGCCGCGAGATAGATTATGAGGAGGGAGAACGACGTGCATAGAACTGTTTGTGTGGTTTCAGTGGTCAAGGTTTGATGCAATTGAGTCTATTCCCAGACTGTGTATGCTGATCATCGCCATGATTGCCGAGGTGTGAGAAGTAAAATCATTTGAAATGGTCACTTGACTAGTCTCGTTCCCATCCGTTGTAAGGGAGTGCGGTCCGCCGGACCGTCGGAGTTACAAAATACACGACAGAACACTCCCTACAACGTCTGGTGCAATTGGTAGGCAAAAACCACCAGTCGAGTCACAACGTGACAGACGGTAACATTTTGGCTGGCGACCTCAATCCGACGCTCAGGTCAAGCTCAGGTTGTCTCTTCTCCTGCTAATCGACTACAGCTATAAACTACGACAGATCGTCATCGGCATCTTAGGTCACAAAGGGCTGAACAGAGGAAAGCTGCCTTCTTGCCCTCCACAACCGTTACCGTGCTGGATAGTCGTGACTTGTTTACATGGACTGTCAGTTAGAAGGTACGTTACACCTGTAATCTCTTGGAAAATGGTCGACTAACAAATTCTCAACCGGTTCTCTGTGTCAAACGGCCTACTCCCCGCACACATGCGAAAAGTCGAACTACATCAACGAGGACGACCCTTCCTTGTCAAGTTTCCTACAAGCATCCCTGTTTTCACGTCTCCAATCTGCCCTACCTCCCAATATTGTCGCAACTGTAAACAACACGACTCCCGAGTCTCTGAAGCATGTTACGGACAACGTCGATTTTGCTGGCATACACTCAAACCTCCTTACAGAATTCCAGCACGTCCAAGGTGTCACATGCGCCCAGTAGCGTTGCCGAAGTTCAGTTCAGTCCGGTTCAGACCCCCTTTGGTCCGAACCTGAACCTGAACCTCCTACAAATTTTCCGAGCCTGAACCGAACCTGAACCGTGCGTTCGGTTCAGGTTCGAACCTTCTGAACCTTGTAATTTTTTTAAATCAATTTTTTTGCCTTTTTTTCGTGTCCAAATGCTTCGAAACTCATGTGTAATCTCTAAAAATCAGTTATTTATGCAATGCCGTGGCACAAACCATGTTTGATAAGCCAAATAGATATTATACAACAGACCCCAACAAGTGCCCGTGTGGGAAAGTGACCTAAAATATGGCCATCAACCATTACCCAGATGAAGGATTGATACTTTACGTTTAAATACTGTAGTTGTAACAGATCACAATAGTTTTGAACAAAAAATTGCAAAAAAAATGTCCAAAACAGAGGGAAAGTAGGCCCCCCAGTGGCTAAAGGTTCAGAGGTTCGGTTCAGTCCGAACCTGTTCTCCAGAAATTTTCTGGAGCCCGAACCTGAACCTGAACTCGAACCGAACTTTGTGTTCGGTTCAGAGGGTTTGGGTTCGAACCGAAGTTCTGGACTGAACTTCGGCAACGCTAGCGCCCAGGCTGAGGAATACGTGCACAAAAGCCACATTTCCCCGCATGAGTGACTGCCGGGTTGCCTGTGTACGCTCCGGTGTCATATCCTCAAACACTGAGCTTCATTGTCTTGATGGCCATTCGCGAAGAGTAGATAGCGTGCATGCATTCGTCGTCCCTCCAGTTATCTCACACAACTTCCTCTGAACCCCACATGTCCCTTCCCTCCGAGCTGGCTACCAGATTATAACATAGCTCACATGTACTTACCATTACACATAGAAATATAGTTTGTAACAGGTCCAATGCTTGTAAACTGTGTTGATATTGCTCCCTACTCTACGCAAACTCTACGTGAAAAGTTGTTACATTTTGTCACGCTGTGACTCGACCATAGGTTCGCCCTACCAATTGCACCAGACGTTGTGGAGAGTGTTCTGCAGTGTGTTTTCACACTCCGACGGTCCGGCGGGCCGCTCACTCTCCACAACGGATGGGCACGAGACTAGATTTCCTTGGGTAAATAAATGTTGGATTGATCATATATACTTCAAGCATGGAGTATAGAGTGCATATGCCAACGCGCACGCAAATTGCTAGTTTTGTTATTCATAATCTCCACTCTCCAAGTAGGGCAGACCCTTCCCATCAGACCCTTACCGTCATCCATCAGACCCTTCCCTCAAAGTCATTCATCATGTGCAAGTCAATCAAAAATCGATGTCAATGATCGTCGTAATGGCGGGTTCCAAGGGTAAGGAGGCATTTCGTAGGCCTCTGCACCAACTCAAAACTCCGCTAGGAAAAGGCTCAGCTCTGCTGAGTCTTTTCCCCTCGAGCCTCGCTCACCATCCATGGCAGCACCGCTTGCCCCTTGAGCTCTGCTCACCAATCATGGCTTCGACACCGATCTCTGACTCAGTGCCAAAGTTTGGCAGATGCTGGGTTAGGAGAAGTCATCGGTGTCGTTTCCATCTCCTGTGCTGGCTCTTTCTCTCAGACCACGTCTACCCAGCACAGGTAAGCGCTCTGTGCTCTCTATCTTATGCGCCGCATACTCACCCAAATGAACAGTGATCTCTACCAAAAGGCTTCGCCTATCGTTTATTATAAACGCACTCCAATCACTTCTCATTTGGTGAGGCATCTATTCTATTGAGCATCGTTCATACTCTTACATCCCCTCTGGCTCAGACTTCGTCAGCCAGATTGTAAGAAGTGTTGTAAAGATTCCCTCCAGCTCAATACTCACTTACTGTGCCTCTCACAGAATCTCTTCAGATTTCTTTGGCCCTCCCTCCACTTCCCTCTTTTCTTTTTGTTTTTTTTCTGTTATATGAACTATATTGTCTTGTACTTGTATCTTATTTGCTCGTGGAAGGGGTCCAAATCGTAACCTGCCGTTTGCTCCCAGCCATCACACAAGCCCTTCACCAGAAAAATTCAATTCCCCATCTGACGACGACACAAACAGCTTAGATAAGGATATTTCAGCTCCTCCAGTACTAGTATCACCGATAAAACGTCGCCAACGTGCTGCAGCACCTGGAATCAATAAACAGAGTGACTTGGAGGTCTGGGAGTTGTCAGATGAGGATATAATTGGTGAGTCCTTTGCATTTTAACTTCAAAAAAGATTGTAAATTCTTTTGTATAGCTGCTGCCAAGACAACGTGGCGTTCTGATGCATATGACCATTATTCAGTCTCCCTCCAGCGTAATTTTGGATCCAAGAGAGAGCCTCTCTCTCTCTTATGTGTTTAGATGCAAGTTACGTCCAGATAAGCATCCTGTGGTTGTTCGGTCACGTTCAAAGACTGCAGAAGGTACTAGTAACATGTTGAAAGGGATGAATGCATGTCTTCAGGCACAGGGGATCTCCAAGATGCAACCAAAGGACGACACTCCTATACCATACTCTGTAGCAGGTCATCGAGCTCTACTTGCACAGCGCTGTGCTACCAGTGCACGTCCATTTAACATGGTCTCTGATCCTGACTATCTGAAGGAGGTCCAAATGCTTCACCCTGGAACTGCAGCTCACAGTCCCAATATGATCAGCCGTGATCTCAATCAAATTTATCTTGACATGTCAATTCATGTCAAGAATTACTTTAAGGTACTGTTTTTTTTTCTTATCCAATAAATTCAAGTTGCTAATGAAGGGACAGTCACTAAACAGTGCTATCCACCTTGTACTTGATGGTTGGACCTCTCCAATTGTCTCATCATATCTTGGGCTTGTTGTGGCTTGGTATCAGAATGGTTCAATTCATCGTGCAATACTGGAATTTATACGGTATGGATAAATAACTTGGTTAGCATCTTAGTTTAAACTGACTCACTTTTTAGCCTCAAACAAAGGCATGATGGAGAGTATTTAGCCCAGGTTGTTTTTGATTGTTTGGAACATTTTGGTCTTACTGAACTGGTGTGCATTTCTTTGATCTCTATTTATCCAATTTCTGATCTTTGGTCAAGCTGTTTTCACTTTGCATGGATAATGCATCAAATTGCGATTCCTTAGCAAGGGTACTTCCTAGAATGATACCAACATTCTGGGGAGAAGATGCTCAGCTTCGCTGTCTGGCTCACATTGTAAATTTGATTGCTAAGGTAATGCTATATATATTTCTCAATATTTTATTAACTCAGCCTCATTTCATTCACAGATATTTATATCCTTCTTTTTCAAAAAACCAAAGCGAAAGAAGAGTGTCAAAGTTGCTGCAAGTACAAAGAATGTGGGTGCAGGATTTCGTCGAGCAGGAGAGGTCGAGGATTTTAGTGAAGGAGAGGAAATTGTTATTGAACAGGGTGATGATTCAGAGGATGAGGAGGAGATTGCAGTCATTGAAGAGGCAGATGTTGAGGAAGATGAAGCAGAGAATGATGAGGGGCAAACGGTACACAATGAAAAGGTGGCAAAGACATTGAGAGAGAAGGCAATTCAGCAAATGGCAGCCAATGGGATTATCATTGACTCAGGAGAAGAAAAAGTAGCTCTTCAGATTTTTCCAAAGGTGAGTTTCATTTCCACCTCCTATGCAGTTTTTAATATCATGCAGGTTGCTGGCCTTGCTCGCCGTGTTCATGATAATGCTGTTCTGAAAGAGAAGTTTGAGAGGTTGGTTTCAGCAGATGAAGAGTTACATGGCCAGCGAAGGGCACTCACCCGACGAGTTACAACTCGGTGGAATTATGATCTTGCATGCTTGGATGCTCATTTCTATTTCCACGACATTATTGAGCAACTTACAGCTGTATCATCGAATGGACTACAAGCATATCATTTAACAGAAGAACAATGGGAAATTGCTTCTGATGTGCAAGAGGTTCTCCTGGTATGTTTTATTTAGTATTCAAGATTGAAATCTAAATATTCCACTTTACCAGCTTTTTAGTGACATTACAAAAATCTTCTCAGTTGCAGAAACACCACTTGTTGTGGATGTTCTCCCAACTCTAGAAACCTTACGTGAAGGGCTGATTGCTGCAAGAGATGATCAGGAGAACAACCCTGCCAATGTTGTCCGGGTTGCTTGTCATGCTGCAGTTCTTCTTGTTGATAAGTATTCTGCCTTTTCTGGAGCCTGTGATATTTACATAGTCGCCATTGGTAAGAATCCAGCTTGATCTCTACATTTATTTCTTATATATTTACCAGTGATGTGTCCTGATCACAAACTCAAATGGTTTCAAGACCATGGTCGTGACCTCCAACAAATCAAGTCCATAAAAAGTATAGTATGTGATTACTGGGACAGTGTATATGCAGGTGAAGAGGAGAATGAGCTGAGAGAGGAGGAAAACAAGGTAATTGGTAAAAATATCTTGGAAATCCTGTTATTGAATTGAATTTTTAGCCAAAGCGATCACGATATGCACCAAAAGAAAATCAGTTTGTTAAGGACCACATTCAAACTTACCTTGATGAACCCAGGGTAGCAACGGAAACAATCAAGGAAATGGGAGGTTATATGATGTACTGGCACAATGCATCACAGTCCCGACCACGACTCTCACGAATGGGTTCTGATTTCTGCTCAGCCCCAGGTGAGCACCATTATTCACACTCATTTTCCTTTATTTTCAACAATTGTTGCAGCTACTTCTGTGGATGCAGAGCAAGCATTCTCCACTGGTCGCCGCCAGATCAATTTCACCCAGCACAATATCAACTCTCAAACATTCAGAGCAGAAATCCCCCCTCTACCCAGGCTTCAATAAAGTTACAAAAATGATTGAAAAAAAGATGGACAATGATTTCTTTTCCTCTTGAATAGCTTTTTGTAACACTTTATGTCACCAAAATTATTCTTTCAATACCTCTACCTAAATATCAAGTTTCAGAGTGGCCCAGGCATGCTAATACACACCCCAAAACACACTCTGTGATCAAGGCTCAGTCACATCAGCATTATATGAGGGGAAAGACCTCAAATTACGATATATGGATAACTTTAGTTTTAATGTACTCAATTTAGATAATATATGAATAAATTTTGTTTGAATATGAATTCTTCTGAATTTTCGCTTCATAATGCAATTTTTTTTGTAAAGAACGGATGAGAAATGAATGAGATACACCCATTTATATAACTGAAGCTATGTCCTCAGCCACTCAGGCCGTTTTACCCACGGATATATCTGTACTGTGCCTTATCTGATCCGTGGGTGGGAAAATCCGTGGATCGGGTACAGTTAATACCTGGGTGTATCCATGACAGTCCCTAGTGCAGAGATGGTAAGTACACAATCTCCTGTCTATTTGCTTTATATTATGATACTTCTGCTCTACCAACACTGTCCAGTCACATTATGCTGTTCAAAAAATTAGTCAAAAAGAAATTCAAAATTCTTTTTCAGCCACTGTGCAAAGTTGAAGAATGGTGAAGAAAACTTAAGCAGTTAAGATTGAAGAAAGTAATTTGATTCTCTTCACCACAAATCTGCAGCACTCCTCATGCTGAATAAAACAGCAAAAAAAGCTACTTTTAAACTAGAATGCCTTTAGTATCATTGAAATTCTGGGGGTAAGTTATTGTAAGTCCTGTAATAATTACAAGCACTCAGAAGGGAATAAATCTTCTGGTACATTTGCAAATCACTGCTTTTCCCAGGTGTTATACTTTGAATGAGGTATTTTTTACTTACTCTGCAAACATGAGGGGCTAAAAGACATGACTGTAGTGGAGAATCAGCATCAGCAAGAAAGGACATTCAGCAGTTCATCAATTAATTCATGGAATACAAGAAAATATGTAGAGTGAACATCCTAGTAGGAGTTTAAAACATATGTATACCCATAGTCCTTAAACTTGCAGTAAGGATATTCAAAAGATTTTCTCAGCTACCTTACCACCATTCTGAAAATTTTCGAAGTCTACAAATGGAACTATGAGATGAAACAAATTCCAATACATTTTTTACTAATCCTTTGACATGGATTGAACCTCTTATAGTTGGATAAATTGCAACAGGCTGAAAGCTGGGTAACATCAGTAAAAAACAATTCAGAAGGTTAAGTACCATGATACAGAGCTGACAAACAAATTTCCAAACTAAATAGGCAGGAAATTGTGTACTCATCATCACTGATGCACTCTCAGAACTGTTGTTTTTCAGTAGATGCTTGACATATACAAGCCATGGTAGGTAATTATCGTGGGAAGACAGTATTTTGTAATAGTTATGTCCGTCACGCAACTCAGGAGGTGGACAAACAACGGTGTTTGCCATGAAAATGAAGCTGGTCACTCCCTGTTGCCATATGGGACAATACAATGGGCTGGAACCAAGGGTAGCATTGGCAGGAACTATATGGCAGAATCTATATAGAATGGCACAATGTTTTTAGCCTTTTGATGGCTGAGTAAGGCTGACTCAGCTGAGTCAGCAATGACAAATCTTATATAATCACTCTGAACCTCACATCTTTAGACCTCATCTACCCTCCTCAACTCCAGGTAAATATTTCTCTGTATTTTATACATATTTTAAAATGCTCTCTTGCTTGAGAGGCCAGTTTGTAGGCACATACATAGAGGTGTAAATTCTATTTCTGTACAAACTTTCTTACATTGCCTGCTCTTTGTGGTTGAATCTATCAACTCTGCTCTACAGTCAGAAAATATTTATCATTGGGTGGGTCACCTATCACAATTTTATAGTTGGTTGATCTAATCACTTAGTTCTGTAATCTATCCATCATCATGTTTGGGTTTCTGTTTTCTTCCCCTCTTGCATGTGCAATATTTAATTTCAATTCACTCCAGGGAGAGCTTGGGAATGTTACTCTAAACATCCCTGCCTATAATCTTTGGAGGCTTATTATCACATCTGAGAGTATGTTAGCTGGGTTTGTTGTTTTATGTCAGAATTTTATCCCTTCACCCCAGCTCTTCATTGGCGAAGTGTAATGCCAATGTGGATATGTGCACCTCTCAAAGCTATATATTGAAGTATTCTATCTAATTCAATATGTGACTGGAAATTCAAAGATTAGTATTTTTGTAACTCAGTAAGTTGCTCATAGTTTTATTATTGAAGATTCTCAACAGGCCTGGAGTTATATAGATTTAATAAAATGTATAAATCAGAGAGTTAAAAATCTTCCAGATAAAATGGGGACTTAGGGAGCTGATTTGGGAGAGGACATAGGAAGTTCCACAAATATAAGTGAAGATTTAGTCAATTTATTCCATGGAGATGAGAAACCCAGGAAGAAATAATCTAATTTCTCAAAACTACTAGAAGTCTATAGTTTCTGGCCCAATAGGATTTTGGGAAAGCTGAGGAGGTAAGGGAAGGTCATGTTAGAAATATATTTATTGTATGTGTTGGTGTCTTATAGCATGACAAGAGAGGGTTCGCAGTACAAAAATATGAGAAACATTGGGGCATGGTAGAGCAGTAAGAGATGTTAAATCGGAAGTAGTACCATTTATAAAGATATGTAATAAATATTCAACACTCTGTTTAATGGGTAGTCAGAACCAATTTGAATTTGCAAGATGGTATGTCAAAAAACTGGAGTTAGAGTGCCTGCCCCCAGCATGCTATGACCCATGTTGTAGGAGCAGCCAATTTATTGGCTATGTGGAAGCAGGGTTTGGGGCCCAACACACTGCACTGTGGACTTGGCACATACAGATATCAGAAAAATTGCCACTGTGATGCAAATTTTATCATATATGTAGATGTACCAGTAATTTACACCAACATATAAAGATTAGAATAAAAAATGTACATGGGGATTGGGATGAAACATGCATACTGGAACTGGGATTGAAGATGTGTACCGGGGGGTCCAGGGGGCTTGCCCCCAGTGAGCCGTGACCTGTGGTGAAGGAACAGCCGAGCGCTGTGCCACAGGCGCAGGTCTTAGGCTCGTTTTGATCTCCGACACATGCATTCCATCAATGAGAATTCAATTTCCGCTACTGGGATCTGCCAAATCTCATTTCTCTTGCTCAGGAATCAATGATATCTCAGCCATCAAGCTGTTCAAAGACAGTAAAGATGGTTTTTAGTAGGGATAAACTTGCAGGTGAACCTCCAAACTAATAATAATGATAACAGACAGTCATTGACTTGCAAGTCTTTGCAACATGATGCATAAGCGAGACAGACTCGATGTTATCATCCACATTGATACTTATGCTAAAAAAAAAAACCATGCTCCTCAAATGCTCCGTTAAATTTTCTCATGTTTGGAAATAGATTCTGAAGGCTTTGCCCTGTGACAAAAGCAACGACTTGAGCATTAAAACAAGTCAATGAAGATTTCTTCAGTCCTTTTTTATAGTGGATGCTATGAATGGCAGACAGTTTGTTTGGAATATAAAAATCCAGAAAATAACCTCAATATCTCCCTAAATCTCATAATTCTGATTAAGCCATCAATGGACAGTTAGACTTAGTATAAGAATTGTTCTTATCTACAAAGCGCCAGCCTCTAAAGCCTCAAAATAGGGATGACATAAATACATATATTCTGGTGCTGTTCTGTGTCAGATATATAAGGTCCTCGACCATGCAAGTTTTGCCAATTTTTTTGATCTCCAGTGGAGCTTGATATTTTGTATTCCCATTCACTGGCAGTTGACCAGGAGTCACAAATATGCTCTGTTTTGGTTTTTATTTTCTGAGAAGGCTCCAAAAAATTCTATAGATCCAAGAATGTCAAATTTGAAGGAAACTAATCAGCCATATAATATATCTCTACCTTGTCTCTATGTGCGGAACCTACAACAATGCTGTCATAGTGCTGAGGTTTTGTTCGCTGACCCTGACTGTTATCCTCTAATTCCACTCTTTTTACAATCCTTTCCATATTATTTCTTGTGATTACTCTACTTGCATTTTTGTATCAAATCTGCACTATATATAATATCTCAAGCATCATCAAGTCCTGGGGAGTGAACATTATCTAAGGATAATTCTAATCAGAAACCCCATTTTCAGTGAAAACTCTGGGGTCTCTCTGTGTCTGTTTGAAACCTGGCCTCAGTCAGCTGAAGGACATTGTTTGGTTATGCTTGCAGAATCCCATGTCAGACATGAATCCAGCTGTGCCGAACACCTGCCGTGTGCCACTACAAAGCCTTTCGATATCTACTCAGCAATGTTCAAGCTTGAGTGCTTGAGTTCCCATCCCACCCTGTTACAATACCCACTGTACATCTGCCCAACAACAATCTTCAAACTTTCCAGTCATACATGATGTTCTGCCTGCCCATGGGCCATTAATCCCTTGCCCGGAGTCCATGTAATTAGAATCACCTCTGAGTCATAATGCATTCAATGTGTTAGATACTGGTCAAAATCATATGAACCTTCAGTGCTGCGAGCTCTAGTGCAATGTAGGATGGGATGAAGGTAAACCTCACCGTTCCGGCAGCAAGTGGCCCACTGCCGAGGAAGGCTGGACCTCAAATATGTTGATCATCAGCTATCAGCCTTCGCTGTAACCCAGGTTTCTATGCAACCAATTTAGGATCCCTTAGGTCTCACGAAGGAGGGAGGGTTTCCAAATAGTTTTATCCATTATCTAATGGTAGCCATTACAAACCAATCACAAATGGTCCCAAAATAGTCTTGAGAAGCGATTGGATCAATCACGAATTCAAATCCTGCCATATACAGTTGAGTGCAAAAAGAATGAAGGTTGGTTCATTTTTCTGGTTCTTTCTAAGAATCTATTGTACCTCAAATGTATTTGTGTATTCTTTTACATTATGTAGTTGTGTTACACTTCCCTTGGTATGGACTAATTTCAGTGAAAGCTGGAGCCTTGAGAAGGTTTTTATTCTGGAGGCCATTTTTGGCATCTGAAAAAAAAAAATGTGCTAACTGGGGAGGTAGCCAGAACATACCTCTGGTCAACCTGAATGAGCCTATCAAAGAATTAGTTAAAAATACTGAGTGGTTATGCTTGTAGAGCCTCCAGAAAATGGTCATTTTGTGCTATTTTAGTCATTTTTGGCCTGTTTTAGACAAAACAAGCCATTTTCCAAAGCCTCTACAGACCTAACCGCTCAGTATTTTTGACTGATTCTTTGATAGGCTCATTCAGGTTGACCAGAGGTATGTTCTGGCTACCTCCCCAGTTAGCGCATATTTTTTTTTTCAGATGCCAAAAATGGCCTCCAGAATAAAAACCTTCTCAAGGCTCCAGCTTTCACTGAAATTAGTCCATACCAAGGGAAGTGTAACACAAATACATTTGAGGTACAATAGATTCTTAGAAAGAACCAGAAAAATGAACCAACCTTCATTCTTTTTGCACTCAACTGTAGCTCCTGCCTACCTTACAAGGGGTGAACAACCAAGCATCTGGTGAAATCAACCATACCCATGACCCCTGTGTGAAATATTACATGAGCAGCCCTTGGTCACATTCCATCACACTACTCTTATCAGTACTTGATCAAGTGCGTAGTCATTGTAATCTAAGTTCTCCCTCACTCCATCTCCTCTTTCCTGAAAGTTCTACAATGCTCACCGTAGGGGCTCCCTCCCTCTTCAGATCTTCCTTTATCTCCTTGATACCATCACTGTCTGGAAGCCCAAACATATCCCAGTTGTTTAGCATAGTGGCCACTCCAATCTTCAGAAAGGATTCTTCCCTTTGCAAGATGAACATGGTGACCATCATCGCCCCTGGAATTTTGGGTAAGATGGTACTATTTGGATTAAATATTCCCTCCAGAAAGTGTTTGCCAAGCAGGTGATATGTTGCATTGTATTTCCAGATAGTTCATGGCTTGTAATCTGGCAGCCCCTTGCTTCTTCAAATCCTGAGGCATGCTTCACTATGTCTGTGTCTATAATAGGAGCAGGAATTGGCAGTGATAGTTAAAGTAATATCGGAACCACATAGATCACACTCAATATGGTGTGTGCCATTCCCATTGATGGTTGTCATCATGTTTGGAGCACCAGGTAGCTTAATATTTTTTTGGGACTCTGAGAGGTTGGTGACCTTTGGTCATTTTGGACTCTGTGTGATAACCGTTGGCAAGTGGGGGGTCAGAAAGGTAAAAAGATATTGTTCTGGAGATACTGTATACTACTGCAGTCTCTTTTACATCTACAAGGGGTCTACCAAGGGTCCACAGCTGAACACACAACAAGTGTGTTGTGGACGTGTTTGTTAGATCAGTGGCACGCCAAGTTGAGTGTGACAGCCATTTTCGGAAAGCATGTGAGAGTTCTCATGGGGGTCATGGGTATGGTTGATAGGTTAACTGTCACTCTTTGATCACAAGATCAATGGGAAGTAGATAAGTTAACTGTAGCAAAATCAAATGACAGGGAATTCATGGATACAAATAACCTGTTTGTGCATAAAACTTGCAAGGGTGTGCTTCTCTTTGGATCATGAAAATGTTGACCATATCTCTTGGCCAAATACTTTGATCCAAAGCTTCAGACTTGATCAGAAATAAGCCAAAGCACCCAAGCAAGTTTTGAGCATCTGGACAGCCAGATTGTGGCAAATGGGTGCCGAAATCCAAGCCAGCTGTACCAACCCAAGTGTAAGCTCCAACCAAGCAGGCTGGATGAGGCAGATGGACACCAGTCTGGTTTCCCAACCAGAGCGTCACTTGGGAGAATTGATATGCCAGTAGTAAATGGAAGTTTGAGGTCAAGTAGCTCAAATTCTCATGGTGTATATGTATGTGACTTTCCAAATGGGAGGCCTGCTGGCAAGAAATCCATTAAAACCCAGTTGTGAAATAAATTCCCATCAGTCAACTGTTGATTTGAAAAGAGGATTAATGAAATGACCCCAATCTTGCTTTGAGGTTAAGAATAGCATTCATGTCAGCATAAGATCTGCCTGAACCCTGAGAAATGCCCTCATCTGGATTTCCATATGAATTGGAGACAGAACTTGGCATAGATGAGTGGATTGAGAGAAACGAAATAGATAAGCCTATGAGGTTACTATGGAATGTGCCTTGGGCCTAATTCCCTCAGCATATTTTCTGATGGAGGGGCAAATAAGCTCTTGTGAAATAAAGCATCATGTAAATTTTGAGGAGGGTATGAAGGCAGAGGACATATGTTGTTCAAATCAGAGCCAGAGGCTCACCAAAGATGGATAATGACTGCAGTCAAACATCTGTGGCTCTGATTACCAAAGAGCCAGATAAATGGGGTTCAGTAAATATCTTTGAGCAGTGCCAATTGAACCATGAGTAAGTCCAAATTAATATGGGTGTTAGCAAAGAATAGGTCAGTGGCCAGAATACAAGTAATGAAGGAAAGGAAGAGGAGGATGAGAAGGATGAGGAGCCATTACAGATTAATTGAATCATCGAGAGAACCAGTCATAATTCCCAAAACACTTTATGATAAGTTATATGTGTGCATTGACCATCTGGACCAACTATGGATTTTGAGAGTCATGGTTGAAGAATTGCATCTGAAATGTAATACAGCTTGAGCCTAACTCATGGAGGGCCAGAGAGTGGCCAAGTAGCACAAGGGAAGTAGTTAACATCTTTGGGCTTGACTCCCATAATGTGTTAAAAGAGTGAAAGGTAACCTGGATTTACACTCTTGACATGAGGAGCAATCATGTGAATATTCACATGACTAGATAGAAAGCCGAGATTCAAGTGTTCAGTTGAAAGGTTAAGCATATGAACATGTGGTCCACAAATCAAGAAGATAAGGTGAGACAGATCCTTGAAGTAGGGTATAGTATGAAAAAGCCTGTGAATGATGTGATTGTGAATGGACATCAAGCAGGTTGAGTTGGAAAGGTGAGAGGTAAGCAGGACATCACAAGACAGTGATGGAATAAACAAAGTCTTTGATGTGTCTACCCAAACATTAATAGATGAAAGCCACAGGAAGTGTTGTAACAAGATACTCAATCGATAGTAGAAAGATGGTATATATACCTGACAGAGATTCTTGTCTATATGGAGGCAGTCCTTGACATGCAGTCAAACTTAAAGCAGTGGGAATAGTAAGCAAAGCACATAATATGCAATTTAATCCAAGAGGGGTAACCAAGAGACACTGAGCCGACTCCAACAGTAACACCCCCAGGTAAACTGTAATAGCCCAAGTGGCATTTGTGCCACAGCACACAAGCCCATAGTGAGTAGTGATATAGCACTGAAAAAGAGAGTAGCAAGAGGTTTGAATTCATAGACAGAGGCTGGGCAACATCCCAATTGCAGAAATCAGCAAGCCAACAAATATCCTTGAGAAAAGAAAATTCTGAGAGATTAAAGAAGAAAGAGAACAACCACAACATATAATCATTCAATTGGGCAAAGTGGATGGGAAAGAACAACCATGAGCAGAGGTAAGACATAGAATGGGCACAAAGTGTAATCAGAGGTCTTTGGGATCTAGAAATCAGGATGTGGTGGAATGAATGCCATGAGATGTAGAATTCATTCCAGGGGAAGGCACCACTGAAAGGAGAGATGGCCAGAATACAGGCAGTAGAAGTCCTTGATGCCTCCAATTATCAGCAAACTTGAATCACCAGTAGTGAATAAGAAAGAATGATCAGGGGGTGTGATCGTTGAGGTTGTTGATACCTATGAGAGGAGGAGAGATACGAGAGCATGAGAGGACAGTCTTAAAGGGATAACACCAGAAGGCCATGAGGTGCAAGACCAGGGATACACAGTACTTCTGTGGCCAACTGGCAACAGCCAACATGGTAAATTAAGCAACTCCGAATTACAGGCAAATCACCATGTAAATGGGAGATACAAACAACCATGGAATGTGAGTTGTAAGTTAAAGTTAAGTTATGTCCCACTTCTGAGAGGAGAGGGGCCACATACGCCCAACCCATGGAAAGTAGAAGTAGTAGATGAGATGCCATGCTTGACACACAGAAAGTAGTAGTAGTGGAGAATAATCACCACAGGTGATCATAGAAGTACACACCACTCCAAGGACAGTGGAATCATTATGCCTAGTGTTTAAAGGTTCAGTCCTCGGTTGCAACCAGTTAAATGGTCACGTGTGTTACATACCCTTGTAACCATGTTTATTACCTTTTATTGGGGTTTTGTTTCATCAAAAATGGTTAAGAATTGAGAAAGATATAACCAAATCCATATTTTACCCAAGTCTCTATGAGATGTAATTCGGTTTCAGTCATAGCTATGTCAAATCTTCCTTAAATCTCTTCAAAATTGATAGAATGACGGGTATTTACATGCTTTACTATTTCATACAACCCGTTTATTTTTCAGAGTAATAATAGGCAAGATACAAATGGTTTATATTGGTATAATAAATTATATGCAAAAAAACCGGTCTGGATCGGTCTGAACTGGCTCCATAGACCGAAAAAGACCGGTCCTAGGTGGTTCGGTTCGGTTCCCTCAATATCTGGGTTGGTCCTAGACCGGTTGCGGTCCACGGTTGCGTGTTTTGGGGGCAAAAAACCGGACTGAACTGAACTTGCGAACACTAATTATGCCCAACACACAGAAAGTACTAGTAGTAGAGAACAATAACAAGAAATGATCATAGAAGTCAAGACATCATGCTCGATACATGGAAAGTAGTAATAGTATAGTAGTAGTGGAGAACAACCACCAGACATGATCATAGAAGTACACTGTACATGTCACTCCCAGGAAGATGGAGTCATTGTGCTTGACACACGGAAAGTAGTAGTGGAGAACAACCACCAGAGGTGATTGTAGAAGTACACATCACTATCAGGAAGATGGAGTCATTGTGCTTGACACATGGAAAGTAGAAGTAGTAGAGAATGACCACAAGAAGTGATTGTAGAACCCAGGACAGTTGAATCATTGTGCTTGCACATGGAAAATAGTAGTGACAGAAGAGAATGACCACCAGAAGTGAATCATAGAAGTATGCACCACTTCCAAGATGGTTGAGTCATTGTGCTTGAGAACATGGAAAGTAGTAGTGGCAGCAGAGAACAATCACCAGAGGTGAATCATAGAAGTACGTGCCACAAAGTAATAGTAGTAGTAGTAGAGAACAACCACCAGAGGTGATTGTAGAAGTACGAGCCACTCCCAAGATGGTGGAGTCATCGTGCTTGACAACACGGAAAGTAGTAGTGATAGAAGAGAATGAATACCAGAGGCAAATGGTAGAAGTACACACCACTCCCAAGACAGTCAAGTCATCATGCTTGACAACATGGAAAGTAGTAGTAGTAGTAGAGAACACAGAAAGTAGTAGTAGTAGTAGAGAACAAATGCCAGAAGCGATTGTAGAAGTATGCGCCACTCCCAGGATGGTCAAGTCATTGTGCTCGACACACGGAAAGTAGTAGTAGTTGAGAATGACCACCAGAGGTGATTATAGAAGTACGCGCCACTCCCAAGATGGTTGAGTTTTAACAAAGGGACAGAGTGTCTGAGGTAACACATACGTTGTGCAAATACCCCAATCGCGATGATCATGAAAAGTACTAGAAAACATCTCCATGCAAGAAGCACAAAGGAAATATGTAAAAGGAGACAAGAAAGTGGATGGGGAAGATATGGAAGGTGGTGACTCACCTTAGCTGGTTGTGCCTCGAGCCTCTATGGGAAGGTTAGTGGTCCTAACAAGAGAGCAGCAAGATGCTGAGCTCAAGAACAACAAGATGTTGGACTTTGGTGACAGTCAATCACAATCAGTGAAAGGCAGGATGCCACACTCAAGAGACAAGATGTTAACCAGATGTTGAACTTGTGGTAACCACCAGAAATGAATCACCAACAAAATATCGGCAAGATGCCGAACTCAAGAACAATAACACATTGAACTCATGGACAGGTAACACACAAGCATGCAAATACCCCAAGGTCATGAGAGAGAACTGGATTCACGCACGAAACACAAAGAATCCGCATAAAGGCGAGTAGAAGGGGGAAGTAAGAAAGTATGGGACGCACCAGGATCACCCAAGTAAGTGCTGAGCAGCATGACCAAAGAAAGTAATTGGCATATGTGGGACATGTAGACCATGACAATAGCATACATGAATCTTACAAAACGACTGAATGTATTCAATCTCCAGCTGGTCAATTTGTGTCAGTGAGGAAATCTGAAGAAAGAAAACTCAGCAGATTTATCAGCTTGTGTAGAAAGAAGGCATGAGATCTAGCATGCTAATGGCTAGCTTATGATGTCTTCATTGAAGTTCGAGACACAGAAAACTGCAAGATCACTCTTGTTCCATGTAGGTCTTGCAAGTTGCTATTGGCCTTGCTTGGTGTGAATTCATGGCAGAAGGATCATGATGCAGGATGCAGTGCGCAGAGCTCAAAAATTTCATCCTTAGCTAAGTGAGGAATTCACATGGCATCAAGAGCAAGATCCTGACATGTGGAGCGATGAGAAGAGCTTTGAGCTCATTGTGACTCATGTTGGGCATGCTTGTTTGTACTTGTCTAAAACCAAGTACAAGGAGGTCTTAGGATTCCAAAGTCTGACCAGGGGTTGGGTAGGTAGGTCGGCCACAGGCCCAAAAAAAAATTCTTGGAACCCTTTACAAAATGATCTCAAAACAGGCCTGAAAGGCCATACCTTGCAGGTTTGCAGTGCCAATACACTCCAGAACATGTAGATCAGTCCAAATTTAATGATATTCAAGCTTTATATAATATTTCTTTAATCTTATCTGGTACTTCAGAGTTCACAGTTGAGCACAACATGGAGACCAAGGGAGTGGGAGGTGAAAATGGGGAGATGCTGCCAGTGGTGGCGGACATGGAAAGTATCATCACTGACAACATGGGATTGGAGAATGACAGCATGAGTATCATCTAAACTTAGCTGAACAGGGGGGCACTCATACAGTGTTTAGTGCACTGTTCCTGGGCCGCCGTTGGCAACAATTTCAAGTGCCTGCAAATGCAATGTCGGCGACACCATAACAGTTGCAAATGGTAACTTAGGGTGGAAGAGAGGCCTTCAGATGAAACCAGGCATTCTAAACGGAAGTGTGTTCCAAGGCAGATGCTGGCAGGGCCCAGATGCCTTGAATGGATGTCTGTGCAGGATAGTGGTGGACTCCCAATCAGATGGGGTTCTTGAGTGTAAGAAGCTTGGCTGTGAGACGCAATGGGTAAGGCTATCTTCCATATGGAAAAGGTTTTATATCACTCACCTACATTTAAGTATCACCTAGGTTGTGTTTCATTGGAAATTGTTCCACGAAACTGGGTTTGTGAGGCCAGTGAGGAATCTGGGACAAGTAGAGGGACAAAGCGATCATGATGATGATGTCACATTACCATATATGGGTACGTGCCTGATTACGTAGGTAGGTAGGTCGAGCTCCAAGGGCTTAAAAAAAAAAATCAACCCTGGGTATTTATTTTTTAATCCTAAGACCCCCTTGACCAAGTACACCAGCGGTCAGGATCTTGTTCTGCCACTTCTGTTATCTTATCCTTAGATGTGCTTGCCCTTGGCTGGAACCACTTCGCCAGACCAGATAAATAACTATCCTGGGTCGAGTTGCAACGCAGAATGTCAGAAGGGGTCATCGGGGTAGCCAGCTCGAAATTTACTCGTGTTGAGTTGACGATTTGGTTCTTGAAGACGAGGACCGGACTTCCCCGAGATGACGAAACCTCCGGCGAGAATGGTGAATTGGCTTCCATCGGTGGTCTGCAAAGCACCGAGACCCCATTCTGCTCTTCAAACTTCAGCGCACGTACGTCGTAAACCCTGAAAGTAGCAGTAGTGGCGGCGAAAACTGTCTAGAGAGGTCTGGGCATAAGTAGGCCAAAATTTCGTGATGGCAGGTGCCGGTGAACGCTTGAGCAGGCATTCACGGCTTCAATTTTCGCAATCTCCCAAATTTAAATTATTCTCTCCCTGCGAATACTGGATCTATATATTGCAGACCCCAACCTGCGAGGCCCTCAAATTGCCTGTCGTCGGATGCCTTCGTGCTCACGAATTTCTCAGATCTACAGTAAGAGTTTCCCCGTCAACCTGCAGAGCAACGATGGCTCACCCCTCTTCATTACAAGGATCCTTGGATAACTAGGCCCGCCGTCTACTGACGAGATCATTACTTGACTCCAGTTATGTTAGTCATGAAGGCCCAATAGTGATGGGCCAACTTGCCCTGACAACGGACCATGTGGCAAGGGCCCAGCCGGCCCGGCCGGATTGATGGCGGAGCCCCAATATGAAAGGGGCGGCCAGACCCTGTACAATCACCCAGTAACCATGAGCTGGCCGTTGGCAACAATTCCCAGCATGATTGGAGCGGCCAGATGCAAGCGCTAGCCGCTCCGTCGGGGACCGCTCATGCCCCGGCGGGCGATCAAAATGAAATGGGTATACAAATTATCGTGTCGCTGAGAGTATGTAGGCTGTAATACGTAGTCACTCTAATACCAATACCTTTACATGAATGGGGCGGCGAGGCCTGTAAGTTGCTGTTGGTTGTCTAATTTTGGGCTGGCGGGCGGGCATAAACAAACATTGAATGGGACAAATTACAGGTCTGGGCTACGCGAATCGACAATCATATGTAAAAAGTCCTCCCTGGCTGAATGGATCTCATCCTTTACCTCATTCAACACCTCCAAGATCACCTCAGCATTCATTAAGATATCCACTTGGTAATCCCGCAAGAAGTCCAATGCATGAACTGTATCCTGCCGGCGGGAGCAAAGATTGTGGACATTATGAATCCACTTGTCAAGTTCTGCGCTTCTAAGAGAATCCTTGCGGGGGTTAGTTACCGAAGGTATGATGTAGTGGATCGCCAACCTTGGTCCTGGGGAAGGATAACCTGTCATCTGCCCACTCATGTTGGGTCATCTCCTGCTCCACACTGGAATGTGTAACCCTCTCAGCAGTCAACAATGGCTCGCAAGGGGGCAGGCCTGCATAGCTTTGAGCCGATTTTGCCTTGCGGAGGGGACGGTCCAAATTAATGGAGGTGGGTAGAGTTGTGAGGGAAGGTCCAGAACCTGCCTTGGCTGGTGGGGAACGAGTGAGGTCAATAACCCCAGCAGGGTTTGTCTTTGACGTTGGCTGACGGACACTGGGACGATCCAGGTTGAGATCCAAGTAGGGAGGAGGGAGGGAATGTGAGAGTGGTGGACTTGCAGGTTCAACTTTGACCTTTCGTGGTCGATCCAAAGTCAATGTGGCCGCGTCGGAGTGGATGATTTGATGTTCCGCCGGCGAGTCGTTTGCTAGAGAGTCAGGCGCCGTCGGGGTGCCCTCCGCCAGATCATGCGTACGAGAGGGGGGATGACGAAAGTCGATAAATCTGAGGGGGGATGAAAATTTCAGATTAACAGCTAACGAATGAATTGCTTACGGAGGCCTAGTTGGACGATCTAAGTTCAAACTTGGCTGGCCCTTCGATTCCGCCGGAGGTCGAACGGGACGGTCAAGGTTCATGGCAGGATGTTCGAGGGTGGTGGGTTGGCGTTTTGGACGGTCAAGGTTTATGTCTGGCAAAACCTTTTCAAGCACCGCTTGCTTGGCTGGGCGATCGAGGTTGAGTGAATCATGATATGGTGCCACCTCTGCTGGAAGAGGCTTGTTCTGGCCCTTTGATGCTGCTGAACCTCGCACGGGGCGGTCAAGGTTCACGGCACGAGCCTGGCCTCCTGGACGATCTAGGACGATATCGCGTAGATCACCTGCCACCGCAGCTGGCTTGAGTGGGCGATCAAGATTGATCAGCGGCGGAGGGTGGTTCTCGGCGCTGCGATGTGCTGGACGATCCAAGTTGATCTCGGTCAGACGACGGTGGGGACGATCCAAAATTAAGGAGCTTGGGTCTGGGCGCAGATCAGTTTTTTCATGCTGGACGACAATTGTTGAAATCACCTGGTGTCATTTCCTCCGCCGGAGGGCTGTTAACCGCTCCCCCGTGTGCTGGACGGTCCAAAGTGATCTGCGTTAGACGACGGAGGGGACGATCTAGATTCAAATGATCGTGTTCTAGACGATAACGATTCAAGATCAGTGAGTGGAAGTCGGTGAAATATTCTGGGTTGACTCACCTTGTGCCTCATCCGCCGGAGCACCGTCCAGCGCGTTCCGCCATGCTGGACGATCCAAACAGATCTCTGTTAAATCGCTAATCTTTGTTACACCACGCTGAGGACGATCCAGATTGAAATGACTTGTGTCTGGGAGATAATAAGCTTTCAGATTGAAGGATAAAGCCCCAATCTTACCTTCCATGGCCCCGGAAGCTTTCTTCTCTTCTTTTCTTGCAGCCATTGTGTTACTTTATGAGTAGACTACCAAAATCCGTGAAGTGAATGCGGGAGTGGGGGGATGTCCAGCAGCCGAACTGATTACTCCTGATGAAGATCAATTGGTATGGCTTTGTTTGTCATGAAGGCCGACGGACAGATTACTCATTGAAGATTAACAGGTATGGCTTTGTTTGACATGAACGCCGACGGCGTTGTCACGTGATGGCGTGACCAATGTTGAACTTTCAAGTTTCCTTTACCGCCGCACACCATCATCCACGCACTCCGCACCTCGACACAACAACACACGTCCGACTATGTCGACTATGTCTACTGCACGCTACGTTCCACGCACACCGGAGCTCGACGACGCGCTCGACAAGTTCTACAACGCGTTCGTTGACATGCTTGTGGGGAAGATGAGGCCGGGGCAGTTTGTGGACAAACCAGATCTGTGGAAGACCATGCAGGCAGCGGTGAGTCATTTTTTCTATCCATGCAGTGCAGTACTCACATCGTTTTTTGGCAGAGTGCCGTCAATGGAGTGCTGGAGACCTGCGAAGCGGAAACCCCCGAGTACGACGACCTCCTCGAGGAGGTGAAGCGATGGAGGCCAAAATACCTAGACCCTTTGGGCCACGTTCCAGCCAAAACCTTCCTCCCTCTCGCTGAGCAGCACATCGCGCCCTCCATTCTCCGCAAGTTATACGCACCTCCCAAGTCTGGGATCGAGCTCATGACCGGCGGAGCGACGAAAGTCCCAGCAGGAGGTAAAACCACCATTGCCAAACCAGCCACCACCGCCAAACCTGCCACCACCACTAAGGCTCCCACCTCTAAACCCCCTGCAACGACGAAGCCAACCGCTGCCAAGGCGGACGTCGATTCTACGCGGGCGGCGAGTGCCAACACCGGCGGGGGCAGTGTTCCTCCCAAAGCGGCTGTCAAGCGCGACGACGCCCAAGCACCGATCAAACCCCGACCCATTACCAAGAAGCCGCCGACGTATGTGGAGATTCGTGAGTCTGACGAAAGCAGTGGAGAAGAGTTTGAGGGGCAGGAGGAAGAAGAGGAGGAGGAGAGTGACGAGGAAGAGGATAAGGTGGTGGTCGTGAAGAAGGCACGTCGAAAGGTGGTCAAGAGCCCGGCGGTCATTACTGATGCGATGGACGCCGGCGGGGACGAGATTGAGTGGTCACAGCGGGACTTGGAGCAGGAGGAGAAAGACGCGGAGTGGCAGGTAGCAGATCGCCGAGACCCATGCGTCACAGACTGGACGACCAAGGACTGTCGCCGCGGCCCCCTATATTGGGGTTCCTACGAAGAGCCTCTCGCGACGTCAGGTCCCATCAAAAAGCGGGAGCTCGTAGATCGCGACGTCAACCCGCTCGACAAAGATGGGTTCGCCAAGTACGTTCTGGCGGATGTCTACGACGAACCCTGCCGTGCTTGCCGCCTGGCGACAAAGCCTCGGGTTTGTGTCTTCGCAGGGCTGAAGCCCAGTCCCTTGGGTTTGACCTTCTCCGCCGAACAAGCCAACGCGGCGGCTTGCGCCTATTGCAAGCACAGCAGGAGGAAATGCGAGGAGCATAGCCGCGGTCGGACACGTCAGATTGTCCTCAATCCATTCCACGACCACACCCCGCCGACGAAAGGGAAGGGCAAGACAAAGGGGGAGGCAAAGGCAAAGGCGGAGACGAAGGTCAAGGCGGAGACGAAAAAGGCGGAGCCAAAGGGCAAGGTGGAGACGAAGAGTACTCCGGCGGGGAAGACGCGAGCGCGACATGCGCCGACGGAGCAGGAAGTAAAGGAAGTAACAATGAGTAAGTGTTATTTCCATTTTCTGTTTCTTCGTTAACGGTGAAGGTGACAGGAACTCTTCAATCACGACTTATTTCTCTGGAGGGTACTTGCGCGGAATTGGGTAAGAAGGTTATTGACATGGAGGGCAAGGTGATGAGGGTGGTCAAGTCCAGCGTCGACAAGATATTGCTGGATGTGAAGCAGTTGGAGCAGGACCACAAGTCCACCAAGACCTACGTCGAGCAGAAGACGTGCTCCGCCATGGAGGCACTCGCCAATTTGGGCAACGCCGTGCACAAGACCCTAGAGGGGATCGTGGTCACCCTGGATGACGTCCCAGACCAATTGCGGGATGCCCTGCAAAGTGTCGTCGAGCGCCCCGACGGAGGCGATGTGGAATCGGCGTTGGCGGGGATGAGAGATATGCAGGCTAGGTGGGCCACCCTCGCTGACCTCGTTGAGGGGGTGATTCCGAAAGCCAGGCGACTGGAGGATGTAGCTGAGGCATCCACACCACCTCCTGAACGCCCCGCCCCACCATCATCCATACCTCCACAGTCAGAGAGGGGGATGTCTGTTGGCGACTCCCCGCCGGCGACCACGTTGGAGCCCCCGGCGGAGGGCACAGAGGCCACTGATGGACAGGTGGACGTCGAGATGTTGGACGTGGATCCGGAGGGGGAGGCTGAGGGTGAGGCTAAGGGGGATGCTGAGGGTGAGGGTGAGGGTGAGGGTGAGGGTGAGGGTGAGGGTGAGGGTGAGGCGGAGCATGAGGGGGAGCCTGGTGTGGATGCGGCAGCATCACCGAAGGAGACTGAGGTGACTCCCGCCGCCGTTGAGGTGCCTGTTGATACCACGGCCAATGAACCCGCAAGCCCTCAAGACACATCGAATCCCAAGCGAAAGCTTGATGATGACGCGGAGGATGCCCCTGTCGAAAAGAAGAAGAAGAAGGCCGCCGCCACCAAGAAGAAAGCTCCCGCACGTCGTAAAGGTCGGTCCAGGCCCGCGGACGCTGATGCCACGCCCCCACAAGACGTAGATGAGGAGGGAGAACAGGTTGAAGGGGAGTAAAGGTTTTCTTGCATCACCTCTTTGTGCGTCTGTAAGCCCGGCGGACGCCATTCTCTTCAATTTTTTGATGTATATACCGCCCGGCGGGCGCCTTCTTTCTTGCAATTTCTCCCCGCCGGCCTCATTTTTATATATATCCTGTCATACAATGCTCAATAATATCTTGTCCACGTCGTTGAAGTGGTGTGATATTTGCAAATGATAGCATAAGTAATTTACAATTGAGCTCCCTTCCTTTTATTGGCCTCTCTCTCTTTTTCCAAACGAAGTTGTGCCGGCGGGGCCACATTGTACTTACGCTTGGGCGTTCGAGCAGACTTCCTCACAATGAAGAGGTCGTCCTCTCTATCCCGCTGCTCCTCTGGAGTCTCATCCAGACCTCTGTTTGCATTAACCACTGCCGTTGGCTTTTTTCTTGGTTTCGGCTTGGGCTTGATTCTCGTTCTCTCTGCATTAGTCTCTCCCCCGCCGGTGTTAAACGGAATATTGCGACTGTTGCCGCCGGAGGCAATGTCACTCCCGTTGCCGGCGGCGTCATCTTTACGTCTGCGCGTCGCTGCAGCCTTTTTTCGTGATGTTTGTTTGTCAGCTGCTTTCCTTTTCCCCTTTTTGTTGTATCTAGGTGGGAGTGTCTCCAGATCCTCATCTGAAACTGGTGGAGACGGAGCCGCAAGGGACAGGCGTGATATAAGCGCTCTCCGCCGTTCATTTCTAGCTCCAGGAGTGTCGGTGGATGGATCAGATGATGGCTCTTCTGAGTATGGTACGACAGGTCGTTTCTTTTTGCCTTTTCCTAATGGTGGGTCTGATTCAACGTCAGGTGGGGGTAAATGGGGGTGCCCCTCATCGACAGGTGGAAGGTCTGGATCCTGGACTGGATTCTCTTGGATTGCTTGACTTTGTATGGGAAGCGGAGGTGTCACCGCCGCTGGAAGATCGATATCGCAAGGCTCAGGCGGAGAATAAGCCATCGGAGGAGTGATTTCGAGAGTGATTTCGAGGGGCACCATTGGAGGCCGAACAAACAACCTGCCTAGTTGAGGAGATGGCCTACTGCTTTGATTAACTTCAGGTAAATTTCTAGAGAGGGATGCAGCTGTAGTACTGTCAGGAGGGACGCTTGGAACCTCCGGCGGGGACGCTCTGGCCCGTTCAGGAAGGACACTGACTGCCTCCGCCGGGGACGCGGGCAAGCGGGCCGTCGGGGACATGACCAGTAGGGTATCAACTGAATAAAAGGAGGGTTTAAGCCTTTCTGCATCAATGTAAAAGTTGAATCGAAATGTTTCAGAAGCTCCACCCAAAGCTTGACGTTTTCTCCACAATGCCACAATCTGCCTGCAATCACCCAGCACCATTTTGCTGGGGTCTTTCACCATGATGTCGGACGGCCACATATCACGATCCCACAACTGAGATTGATGTTTTCCCATCGAGCTCCAGGGAGTGGCGGACTCCTTTCCACACGCGAGTTGGTAATGAAGAGTCATAAATTCACGGATCATGAGCTGCAACACGGCCGCACTTTCAGAATGCTCCGCCGGAGCATCTGGTAGCACTGGTAATGAACCCTCCATTTCAAGCCGCATTCTCTTTTTCTTCCGGTCACGGGTAAATTTCTCTGGGTCGGCCGTTACACCTGTATTCAGGGCTTGTAATGTCATGAGTGTTTAGAAGGACGACGTTTGGAATGTCACTCACTTTCGATATGAGCACAGTAAGCCGCCCATGCTTTACATATCTCCTGAACTTCAGTCCTGAACATGGTTTCAAAGCTCAGAGCCCCCGGCGGGCCAAACTCGGGAGTATGGTCGAGGAACATCCAGTTGGGATCCCCCTTGGAATCGTAGTGTGTTATTAAACCACAGCTAACAAGGCCTAATTGATAATATTTGACTTTATCCATTTCACGCAACATCTTGTACCCTGACCGCGAAAAAAGCCTAAATGGTGGGTGAGCCGGCGGCGCAACATGCCCGGCGGAAGAATGGGACTTACTTTCTTTGAACTTCAATAGGTGGTGACTCATTTGTCCATTTCTTTGCAATGATTTGATAATCTATTCTCTCGGATGCAGACAGGTTATCCAGGAGTGATTTTAAACCTTGTTGGTACTTCCCAAGAAACGCTCGTGATCCCGGCGGCGCCCCTCCCGCAAGCTCGACAACCTTGGAGTATAATTCTTCTTGTTTCAAATGGCCGATGACGTATTTCAGTGAGATGGGCTTCACATAACCATATCGTCGGACGTGAGGCCGTCGGCCATGGTTGTAATACCACTCTTTCACTTTCTATGTTGTGGGTCAGAAAGGGGCATCGAAGAAAGCACGAAGAAGTCACTGCTACAGTACTTTTTTTCTAATCCTCCATTGATCCGGAGTGAGCTCTGGTCCCGCCGCCTTGATTAATCTGTATATCTTGAACATCAACAAGTCTTTCCGTTCCTCTTTGCTTTTCGTCGTGAAGTCATCCAAATACTCCCTCAAAACCTTCTCTTCTGTAGCTGAAAAGTGCTCGCGTCCCCTCTCCACCTGTCGACGCTGACCGGTAGCGGGAGGGACAGTTTGTGACGGCATTAAAGAAGCAGTGCCCTGGGGGCGGGAAGAAAGGACGTTCAAACAAGCACGTTGGCAACCTGTATGCTCCGGTTATATTGCTTGTCCCCGGACAGGGCACGATCCAGATTGCCATCGGTGCCTGGGACCTGACCAAATAAGGGTGATGCGCTTTGTGCACGGACCCTCCGCCGGGCGTGCGCAGACCCTGCATCCCGACGAATGGCGACGCACTCGCTCTATTGTCACTGCTGTGATCCCAAAATTGGCCAGTGATAGGAGAATACCGCCATAATAATTATCAGATAGAAAGCATCCAACAATCTCCGGTTTTCCTGAGTGAACCAAGAAAGAACTGATTTATGGTTAGAATCTTTATGAAACCTCGACTACATAATGGTATTCCACAAGAAATGAAGCTGAAAATTTTATACTCTCGGACAACATATCGTCGGGCATAGCTTGTTCGAACCCTACTCTTCCCACCATTCTAGAAATGTATGACATGGCCCTCTGGAGTGAGTATTCCGTTCAGGCCACCCGAAATGGGGTGCCTTTGTCGTATCTGATGTAAAAAACGTGTTGTTCCATTTCATCCCCTCAGACAACTTATCGTCGGGCATGGCTTCTTCGAGGCCCACTGTTTCCACCAGTCTAGAACTGTAGTAATTTTCGTCTAGAGTGAATATTCCGTTCAGAGAAGCCGCAATGGGTGGCGCAAATGTGCCTTTATGGTAACAGGCCTGAAAGAAGGGATAAAACCCATGCACTTGTTCCGCTCAACTAACTGATCTGTAGGTTATTGGAGTTCCAGCTCTGCCAGTCTGCCTATTGCGGTGATTTCACCCCAATACATGTTTGAGTTCGCACCAGTGCCGCCCGGCGGGGAGGGTTGGTGCCCGCAGGGGCAGATCTTCTTGCAACGTCACCGTAACTGAATGGTTAAATGCAAATGCTACCAGCGTTAGGGTCAGTTCCCACACGGTGATCCATCTCCCACTGGTGCTGTAATCTTTTGCAGGCCGCCGGGGGTGACTGACACAAATGCTGCAATTTAAAATGGTTTTTAACGTCACCGTGACTGAGTGGTTAAATGCTGATGTGGTCAGTTCCAGGGTTCAAATGCGACACCGTGAATTGCAATTCTCTCATTTCGAATATTTGTCTTTTTTTTGCCCTGACGTGAGGCATGAGGCAGCAAGGGCCGGCGGTGGTCACATGTCTGCGTGCACAGCCACACGCCGACGGAGGTAACCCATGAGGTGATCCACGAGGCGCCACAGCCACATCCCGCCGGCAATCAGTAAGGTGAATGTCCCCCGTATTTCTCCTATCGATTACACCATGCATCGAATCAAAATTAAGCCCAACGAGCGGAGAGGCCCCGTTCGAGTGGAATGCACACTACACAACACATCGCGGGGGCAAGTGCAGAGGTTTAAGTACCTACCAAGTCCCAACAAGACATCCTCTCTCGATTCCCGCCTTGAAGACGTTGAACTGACCATTCCCACTGTGCAGTCCTACGCTGAACCTCTCAATCAGGATGACGAACTTCTTCCCTTACATAAAAGGACGAAAGGCAAGGTTAGACAGAAACGTTTTGATGTTGCTTGCCGCTCAATGAGCGAATAGACACAGAATGATTATCTTCTGGAATGGAAAGGTCTCCGAGACAGCCATCTACATGTTATGCTCCAAGCAGAAGCCCCTCCCACCGACATGGTCTGCATGGAGTGTGGTCGAAAGGACGGTATCTTTCGGTGTCTTGACTGCTCCGCAACTCCCTTGTTCTGCAGGTCTTGTTGCCGGGTGTCTCATAGACGACTTCATATGCATCGCATTCAATGCTGGAATGGCAAATATTTCAGAACAAGTGCCCTCTGGGAGACTGGTCTGGTGTTCAACTTGGGACATGGAGGGAATCCTTGTCCTGGGTTGGCTGTTATAGAGGAAGACGAGAATAAAAGGCAGGACGTTGAATGGGATGAACGTTTGAGGAGCCCGCCGCTGGGTGAACCGGAGAAATTACCGCCCGGCGGGGCCCGACCTTCAGTATATCCGTCGGCATGGGATGCATCCCCGCCGGACTTGGATGTCCGCATTCAAGCAGCGGCGGAGAATATTTTTGATGACAGTGAAGACGTGGGGAACGAAGAAATGGAGCAAGACGACGGTTACGATTCCGATCCCGCTGATGCCTTCGTCGACCCAGACGAGCATGATGACGATGTGACAAACGACCATGACAACGACCGAGATGACGGCTTTACTGGCAAATATTATGAAAGATTCAAAGGCATCGCCATGCCTCCTCACCCAGACGCCGAAGATTCCCTGGGAAATCCTTTTGTAACGTTCGTTGAAACGAATGGTGTGCATCACCTGCCCATCCACTATTGCATTTGCGGCTCTGCAAGGCCGCATGATGAACAGTTACTTACAGCGAAGCTCTTTCCGAGCACCTTCACCATGATCAAGACTGTGTTTACATTTAACGTGTTGGATGACTTTCGAATGACCAACCTATCTTGCAAAAGCTCCTGTTACCAATATTATTTAAAGCTCCGGCGGCTCACTTCACCGGCGTTCCCAAAATCAGTTCCCAATCGATATCACGAGCTTCTCAGGGTTAGTCGACAATGGAGGAACTTGGAATTGAGAAAGGCCTTTGGATTCGGCCACCAAGAGACTCCTCCGCATGCAGGCCAAATGGCCCATGGTTGCGCCTCTTGTCCCCAACCAGGAATAAACTTACCAGAGAACTGGAAAGACGATCCAAATCAGTACGTTATATAATTTCAAACAAAATTCTATTATCTTACCGTCGCCGCTAATCAAGAGAGGTTTTCACACGATTTATCTGTGTGGATGGAAATTTCTCTGCAGATCACTTGAAACAGAAGAATCCATTAGATGACGTCCCATTAACGAATGGCGAGGGAATGATGACCAACCAAGCCCGCTACAAAAAATATCTCGCACATCCGGTGGCCATTCGACAAGTAAGTGTTATTTTCAGCCATGTCAAAGGCTGCCCGCCGGAGGCCCCTCCGGCGGAGCCTTCGTGAATACAAAGCCCTGATTGTCTGATGACTTTGTGGCAGACCAAGTCAACGTGCAGTTATCANCCAGGCTGTAAATAATGCCAGTCAAAATCACACTGGATGTGATGCCACGGGTATTGCAGCTTTTGCCTGTGCCCGGTCTGGTGCATTCATTCCAGGGAGTGTGGTAGATTTCCAAAAAGGGGAGAGGCAAGTAAACATTGACTATGCACTATGTGAAGCCTTGAAATCGATGGGAATGGATGATGGGGGAAAGGTTATGGTCATTTATGATGTGATGTGCCAATACCACATACATCTCTGGGACAGGATCAAACAAAACCCATTCCTGTCCGTTTCGGAAAAGATCGAGTTGATGATGGCTATTGGTCTTTTTCATGTGCACGGCCATCAAGATTCATGCCTCTTTCGGTTTGCGACTTCCTTCATCCCTGGTGCGGGCATGGTTGACGGAGAGATTTTGGAGTCGTTGTGGGCACAGCTCAATGACATTTCTCGGAGTACCCGAACCTCGACATTGGCGCACAGGACGGAGGTTTTGGATGACCACATGATCTACAGCAATTGGAATAAAATGGTTAATATCGTTTCTTCCGTGGTCACAAAGTTCAACAAGTCGGTGATTGGATTGGTGGACAGCAAGGAATATTTTGACCGATTGAATGGATCAGCTCTGGCCGAAGACATTGACAACTGGACCAGGGAAATACGGAGAGCTGAGAAAGAGCGGGAAAGGGGCAACCTGGAAGGAATGGATATTATGGAACCTGTCCACGCAGGAAATAAGGAAGGTATGTACCTTGTTGTGCCGGGAGACTGTTCGTGGCCGCCGGACAGCCTATTTACTGCCCGCCGGCTATGATGCTTTCGGCCATTTAGTTTCCACCCCGTCGGCACAGTCAAAACTGACAACAACCCTTAGGTTCCAAAAGTACTGCAGATGTGCAACTGGCGTTAATGGAACAAGAGTCCTTGTCTTCAGGCGAAACGGGTCAGACTTCATGGATTGCGACAGGCCTTAAAATTGAGGAAACACAGTAAGTCAGATGGTCGATTGTAATGAAGTTGTTTACCTGTGCTGTGTCAAATAGAATGGATCTCCGATTGCTAATTCGGTCAGTTGGAAAATCCCCCACCACTGCTCAAAAACTTGATTTTGCCAAACGTCGGGAAAGATTGCGGGCTCGTTTGGATGCCTTTAATCGGACAGCAATGAATTTCATGGGAAGGAACATACAGCAAAGCATTGGCGACAATATGTGTCTTCTCCCGGAGGAGTTTGATATGGATGATGAACTTCAAATCGATGATCCACTTCCTACAGATAGTCTTGACGGGAATGCTCCCCAGGCCTTGTTTGCGGACGGGGCTCCGGCGGCGCGCCTGACTCCCGCCGCAGTGGCCCTCGCCAAGGCGGGCCGAGCGGCTGCTGCCGCACGTTCAGCCATAGAGGCAGTTGAGCATGTTAGGATACCGCTCCCGTCCACCTTAGGCGATGCGGCACTCAAAGCTCGTCACTTGGAGCCACTCCTGTGGAAAGAATATGAACTTCGAAAAGGCCAAGCAAATGAAGCTCTACAAGGAGTCCGCATTTCAATTGCCAATCTTTCTTTTGAATATGGAAAGAAACTCAGAAAGATTAAGAAAAGTAAAGTGAAGAAGACGAGAGCTTGGGCGGGGGTGCAAGCGGTCGGAAAGGTCCTTCATCGCCATCGTTTAATTTATGCACAGGCAGTCGCCGCACTTCAGAGTCTGGGGGATCCCGATAGACTCGTGGGCTTATTCTACAAACCGCTCGAGGTAAAAGATATGAAAGCCAACACCTCGGTGGCGGACCCCAATGCCGCCGGTCAAAGAAACTACCGACCGGCATGGTTCTGGGGTGGAGATTTGTCAAACGACATGAATGACAATTCTAGAATGGTGGAGTGTGAGTCTTCAGAAATACTGCATACATCTTTTCATATAGTCATGTAGTCCATCGAGTCAATTGGCTCCGTGCTAGGGCAAGATTTCACCGTTGGAGGGAGGAATTTAACATAACCTCCCATGAAATGGAATGGGTCACGAGATACTTCCTGCATCAGATGAACAAGTGGTCAGCCTGGAGTGATCTGGCCGCTGCCAGTGGGAAGAGTGGTCATGTTTGTTATGCGGGAGCCCAGATTGATATATGGAGGAGGCTTGGTGAAGATGCGGATGAAAGGTTTGCTCACGCAAATAGTCTGTATAAACGAGTCATGCAGTAATTTTGATGGTAGTATTAACCTTCATCTCATGGCCTCGGTCCCTTTTTGTGGGTGAGCAAGCAGGACCTCCCGCCGGCGATATGTAGGCCGCCGGGGCCCAATGGGGTTCCTTTTTGATTACATCTGTTTTTATTTTATTTGATCTGTGGTACTGATTAAGATCGATAATCATCGTTTCTTCTCTTTCAACCACCATGCCATTGGTAAATGGCCAATGGCACATATATTACTTTTCCTCGCGTTGCCAAGCCTCCTGGCTGGCTTTTCGGGATCACCAAGACGACTGGGGAAATGACCCTAAGCAGCATGAATGGTGGACTACAGGGCTGCGACTCGAGGGAGTCCGTTGATTTCTGATTTGTACATTCAACATATTATCTGATCGTGCAAAGCAGGACAGACTGGCAAAGTCCATTGGTTATCATCTTGCCATCGGCTTTCTGGTGAAGATCCCCTTTTGGGTAAAGTTTTTCATCCGTTCGACGCATCCCCAGGAAAGACAGTTCGCTTCGGTACCTCCGTTAAATATTTACCTCGAGTCTCCATATGTGGATGATCCCAGCCGCGTCGTGGCGTCATACCATGCGGACTGGTGGAACTACCCCGGCGGCGCTTTGACCATCCCGTCGGCATATTCTGAGGACGAGAGTGCTGCCTTTAATGACTGGTTGATTTTGGCTAATCAGGTCCGTCGTTTCATTTAGATCTTGGATTTAGCTGATGATCTAGAACTCAGCCCCTGACCAACAAGTTGTCACCGAGATCTGAAGATTATATCATGCCAGAGTTGACCGCTCCGGCGGTGCAAGTTCTAGATGGATTTCAGA